GACTATCAACAAAGAAGCCTAATTAACTATCTTTGAAACCTCTGTCTTCGTGAAAAGATATTAACGAAATGACCATTTTCTAGTAAGGATATTACACATACTATTTCAAATAAATTAACTATAATAAGATAATGTCAAAATTTTGCTTCAAATTTTTTAATCAAGTAATAATATTCCATTTTTCGTTCTACATTTTAAAGAAGGAAGAAAAGAATATTTGTAACTGTTATATGGTAATTCATTGTTATTATTATAGATTCTCTCTACATCTCATAATTGATCGCGATTATTTTCTAGAGGATTATAAGACAACTGTTATATTGGAAACCCTTGTTTTTCTTGGACGTGCTCAGCTTTGATATCATATTTACATATTATTGGCACTGAAACAGTGCAATGACTATAAGACAACTGTGATACGTGAGACTGTAGTAACGAATTAATAGTGTGTTGGGGATAAACTGATAAGGTGATTCGATTTGTATTGGCAACGACTTTTAAAAATATACAGTATATGTTTGGGATTAAGATTATGTTATCGATGATTGTGGGTAGAAATATAATCAAAACCTTTAACAAACAAAAACCATTCGCTAACGTGAAGTGATATATTTTTCACGTCCATCTGATGGTTTTTAGTGTATGTTTGATTGATATTGGATGAAATATTAAAATGTAAAATTTTAATCATTATCTTAGCAATTATCTTTCAGAACAATTACTCTTCCATATGTACTTTTTAATGTAGGACCATTGTGTTTAAATTAAACCATATAACTTATCATCTTAATATAATTCTTTATCATCATCTTCTTGAGTGTCTTCATAGATTTAACTTCATTATCATATTTAATTAACATCAGGATCCCAACACAGCATGATATATCATTCTCATCATCTTTAGTTTTCAGCCCCCTTTCATCTAGAATAGGCAATACATTACACGTAGATCATTTAAAAGAGAAAAGAAAAGTAAATTGATCGATGATCTCTTTAATAATAAAAAAAGGAAATCACGTTCTTGAATTATGTTGTTGCTGTTCTTCGTGGCTATTTCTTCTTCTTCACTTAAATCACACAACTTATCAATTACCAATATACCAATTCATTGTGACAATGTTAGGGTTAAAGCAAGATCCGTTCACTGCATACACACCAATACACCATTCCCAAATTATTTCACACACACACAACAATGTCATAACAACACATATTATCTCAACTTTCAACACATTTTTATGAAAATTTTGAAACTCAATACA